ATGTGGTGTGTTGTTGGTATTGACAAATCGGCACGTATAAACGAATCAGGAGCTTTAGAGTTTGAGGTATATCGATAGTTTCATAATACCTGCTAGATGCAATAATTATGTGTCTTTCTTTCGTGCTGCAATGCCAACTGAATACGCCAGGTTTTCGTCCAATCACCAAATTCAGCAGATCATCGCCATAGCACTGTTTAACTACACCGCCCTGTGAACACGATGCACCTTTCAACACCAGACGGGACGGCCTCGGCTACGGCGATGGCCACCAAAACTCGTCAACCGCTCAAGTTCTTGTTGCATTGTTTCTCTGCCACCGGCCATGTTTTGCCGATGCAGGCCGTCGCCAAGGAGTTGGTTGAACGTGGCCATGAAGTCGTTTGGACAACCATAGCGCCCCAGGAGCAGCGAGTCCTTGCATCGGGAGCAAACTTCGTCGCCGCCGAGGAAGTTATGAAAGTAGATGCCAACTTGGAGGGTGCCAACCCGAAAGATATGGCCGAGACGGCAGAAGTCATGTTCCGAGGGCGTGTCACGGCGCAAGTCGCTGATATCCGCCGAGTCCTGAAGACATTCAAGCCAGACTTTGTTCTCAACGACGCTCTACCTCAAGGTGTCGCAGCGCTCTACGAGCTGGGCGAGATTCCCCCCTACGCAACTCTGGGGGTTGTGCCGTTGTATCTGCCCGACATACGGCCTGAGCCCATCGAGCATGCTGCTCAATCTGCTTTGGGACTGCTCATCAGTCAACCACAACTGGTTCTGCCTACAATTAACCCGGAGAGAGAAAAACTCGGACTGCCTGCCCTCAATGTCACAGACACGTATTCTTACAGTCCTTTCCTGCACATCCAGGCTTCGTGTCCTTCCTTGGAATTCCAGGAGGGCCCCGAGCCTATTCTTCCTCAGGCTCGATATGTCGGACCTCTGGTTACACGTCTTGCAGGTACAAATGCTGGTGTGCCAACATGGTGGCAAGATGTCCTCGCCGCCAAGTCCATTATTGGAATCACACAGGGCACGTTTGCCATGGACCCGACCTCACTTATCATTCCCGCCATCAAAGCGCTGCAGGACGACAAGAGTCACTTGCTGGTTGTGCCATCCAAACTTGCCGACGAGATTCGCGATAGGGTCAAGATTGAGGGTAACGTCCGCATCGCGGATTGGGTTCCCTATGACCTCCTCCTTCCACGTTGCCGCCTACTCGTAACGAATGGTGGATACGGCAGCGTGACGCAGGCCCTTTCACACGGCGTTCCTCTTGTCTGCGCCGGAACTTCGGAAGACAAGAAGGACACAGCTGCGCGAGTGACTTGGGTTGGGGCGGGTATTGATCTGAAGACCGATACTCCCTCAGTGGATCAGGTTCGCAATGCAGTTCACAAGGTGCTCAATGAAGCAAGTTACAAGGAGAATGCGACTAGAATTGGAGAGGAGCTCAATGCACAGGGTGGTGCCAAGAGAGCGTGCGATCTATTGGAAAAGGCGGCGACAGAGCTAAGCGCCCCGACGGGGAGAACATAGATAGAAACTCACTTAAGAGGAATAGAATAATGACGTAGATTCCATCCGAGAGCTTATAGAGTTTAAATCTGCAAGCAGTGACAGGATGACAGCAAACTCTGTTCTCGTAGAGTCCCATTTGGTTTGCGTCACACGTGTGTTAATTTACGAACCCAGTCAGTTTTCTGCCTGTCAGCATTTCGCCAAGAAGTGATACAACGTTGTACGCTGCCATCGTGCAGATAACGCGGAGTTTAAAAAACCAAATTCAACACCACTTCTAAACACGGACCAAACGTTCGTCCCGATGGGAAGCTCGGACTTTACGACATGCACATTCATGCTAATAGAGGATTTAGAATGATGGGCAAATAAAAGTCATCAACGTCATGAAGTACATCGGATATCAAATAATAAAAAAGAACTACACCACTATACACCAGCCAAGTATCTCATCACTCATTCATTGTCATGGCCTCCGAGCCTGAATCATGTCCTTCTCGCAGTCAAATGACTGGGGGCTGAGATATGTCACCACCCTCAATTGCCCCTTGGCCAAAGCACATCCGACGTAGTAATGACTACCACAACGAGTTTCCAGAGTTTTGCGCCCACTAACAGATTCGTCAGCAATTGTGAGCGACAAGTGGGTTGAGAGGGTCTTACAAGATATCATTCAAGGCTTGTTCGTAGTTGTCCATCATTGAGTCCGACCGACGGGTAGAGAAGAACTTGCGAAGGCGGGCAAGGACATCTACATCATTCTTGCTGAAATAGTTGGGAGAGATGTACACCTTTGGTGAGATCGCTTTACCACATCCGAGGGTGTAGTAGAAGCCCGGCGATGCACGTCCGGGGGCACCATCATCGAGAACATCTGGTGCGTCCGCCAGGAAGGTCTTCCAAAAGTCTTTGAGGTCATCAATCGCCTCGCCCGACATATCGAGCTTACCCCCGAGGGTCAGACAGTCCATCATGTACCCGAAGGTTGTGTGCTTTGCTCTGATGTACACCTTGATGCGAGCATCTTTCGGCGCGAGGCAGTCGATGGCGAGGATGCCCGTCTCGAAGTTGTATTTCTTTGTCCCTTCTCTAAGGAAGTCTAGAAGGGGCTCGGCGCCGAGTGATTGAAACTGGTCGGTCGGAAGGCTACGAATAGACTGCTCTACAAGCTCGAGGTTTGTGATGCCGAGCTCTTCGGCCTTAAGTCCGGGATAGATGTAGATCTTCATGACAGGCCCGCTCTTCTCGATGTCGAGGGCCACTACTGTGCCTGCCTTCGGCGTTGTCTCTTCGATGAAGCAGTCCACGGTCTTTGTCCGCGTGCCATGGGGCAGGATCCGTCTTGTGAAGTGGTTGTACCATTCCAGGTCCAGGTTGGGAACAAGCTTTTGTTGCTGAAGCTTGAAGATCCAGTCGTTTGTTGCGTGTCTGTTGAGAGGGTCGATCTCTGTGCCAGCGTGGAGACCAATGGGCTCGAAGGAGTAGCGAATTACAGCTTGATTATCGCGACCCCATTCCCAACTGAAATCGATGGGAGTAGAGTCTGGTGTACCGGGACTTCTCCATCTCCTGACATTGCCGTGGCAATCTGGTGAGGGGCCGAGTTCAGGAGCGACAAACAGGGAGTAAAAGTTGAGCTCGCGGTATTGGTCTGCTGTGCTGTAGCCGGCGTACTTCAGGAGCTTGGAAAACATGCGCCCCGTCTTGTCCCACCAGAATTGGGAATCGTCGTCCCTAAACCGCAAAACGGAGTTCAGGAAGTCCCAGGGCTCATTTGACATGATCATTTCACCCATACTGAATATTGTGCCGCAGCGCAGAACGTAGTGATTGGAGCAAAGTAAGGTGGGAAGTAAAGATCAAAGTGAAAGGTCAAAAGCGAAGGCAGCTCGGTAGAATCCCTAAACGATCTAGCTGGTGTTATATCACATACCTCGACGTAAACCCCGCGACAGCAATAACTGTAATAGCCCCTCAGCTCCCACAACTTTGCCATCCCATCGCCGTTGGGGCCTATCCGTAGGTGACGATTCTTGCCTAGCTCATTGGTTCATCCGATGCGGAGGTTGATACTGGGGTTCAAAGTCGTCGACTCGTGGGAATGCAAGGTAAATGTGTGGCATAGGCCTGTCAAGTTTCGTGATAACTTGAACCGACCAGGGGATCCTTGACGCTCCACGATTGCAGCGCGGCTTCCAAGGCGCGGCTTCCAAGGTCGATGCTCGCCAGGTGGCGGTTGCATGCCGGCGGGAGCCTTCTACAAGGACTGAGTCAAGTCATGCTAAACATCAAGATGAAATACATTTTAGTCACATACTACTTCTTACCTATCCGCGCCTGTATGGGGACTACATCTAGGGTATCTGTTGGCCAGATTACGTCTCGGTCGCTGTGACTCTTGGCCTTCTTCTGACGGGGTCCATACGGATATAGATACAACCGTGAACCTGTCGTGACGGGCATAGGTGATCTCGATACGAAACCGTTTTCGGAGCAGTCCTTTATTCCAAATTTCTAATAGCTGAATTTTCCCAAGAGAACGCGACCCTAGATCTCCACTAGTTAGCATACATGGCCTGATGACCATAAGGAATGCTCCGGCAACCATGACTATGCACGGCTAGGTTGTCTGAAGGTCGGAGTGGGGGGAGATAAGCCAGACTGCCCGCTCAAAGCCCATGTCATGGGGATGTTTCGAAACAGGTATATCTTGTTGCTAATCAATACTTGGAGTTCATCACAATTGCTTATACGACGACTATAGAATCCCCCATACACTATCTCATTGACTAAGCAGCTTGGCACGACCGTTGGAGACTGGCCTTGCCGGGAGCTTGCCGCTCGGATCGCAGTAATGCAATTTTGTCATTCTAAGTGAGGAAGACTCCACAAATCGAAGCTTTCTGGTACCTATCTATCCATATCGGCACCATAAACCGGGCCCGGCACTCGGCCAAAGTATAATAAATTAACCTGGACTGTCGACGAGTCAGGGCACACTCCACGATTACCCCAGAAGCCAAGATGAGCATCGACGTCGGCCTGCCAAGAAGGGAAGCAAGCTCAACTGCCTTCGGGCTTATCCGCTCCCATTCCCAGTGCTTCGGCCGTGGGGTTACTCTAACGGTGGAACGTAGTGACCGGAAGTTCAAGCGTTGCTTAATTGGAAAATTGGAAAAGATAAGTTCACAATTGGACCGCGTACGATAGGGACCTACCATCTGACTCGCGATGCGGGCGTAAAGCGATCCGACGAGTACCGCTATGCGTCATATCATCGAACAATCGCCCCCCTTTGGGGTCCTTTGGGGTTGCCATGCCGTCCTTTCCACATCCCGATTTACTCCTTGTATGAACCCCCGTGCTCTCTCCTGGGAGACTCGACTCGCGGCGTTGCTCTTTCGATCCAATTGTTTCATCAACGACCCCTCGCAAGCAATAATACGATCAGCGGGGTCTTACAACCACATCTGACCAAGGCAGTTAAAATGGCGCTTTTGAGCCTTTTGGCTCTCGCAGTAGGTGTGGCCATGAGACTGGCAGAGACAGACTGCTGATTCAGGGCACTTCGCAGGCATTCTTGGGAGTCGTGTCAAAGTGCTTTTACAATGCCTTTCTACACCCACTCAGCCGCTACCCCGGTCCGAAGCTCGCCGGTGTGACGAGGGCGTACTACTTGTTCTTTGATGTTCGTGGGGTAAGCCACTGGAAGGTTAAGGAGTGGCACGAGAAGTACGGAGAGGTGGTCCGCATCGCCCCCGGCGAGCTGTCTTACACTTCTGGCCAGGCTTGGCAAACGATATATGGTACGTTCAGAGAGATCAGCATCGACTTGGCACTCGGTCGTTTTAACGCAACGCCTATTTAGGCTTTCCCAATAAGGAGGGCACAGGTAACTTTGAGAAAGATGCTCAGTGGTGGAACAAGAATGTCAATGGCGTCGAGAATATCCTCACAGCCGACGATGCTGGACACAAGCGTATGCGCCGTCTCCAAAATCCTGCCTTTTCGGATAAGGCCCTCAAGGCTCAAGAGTCTGTCATCACCGGCTATGTCAAGCTTCTCATCCACAAGCTCCACGGGCAGGCATCGAGTGGGAGCGCAAAGTCCGCGGCTATCGTGGACATGAACTCCTGGTACAACTTTACCACCTTTGACATCATTGGCGATCTAGCTTTTGGCGAACCCTTCTACTGTCTGCGCGATGCTGAGTGGCACTGGTGGCTGCATGCTGTCTTTGATATCTTCCAGGCTGGCACCTACCTCCGTGCTGCCCGTCGTTTCCCGTCGCCGCTGTCCGAGATGCTCCTGCTTCTCATTCCCCGCCGTCTTATTAAGACGAGAGTTGCCCAATTCCAGTTTGGTGTTGAGCGTGTGAACCGCCGTCTCGAGCAGGAGACCGATCGTCCCGACTTCAGTAGGTCCACCTCGACTAGACTCGATCAAGGCAGGCCACTAATGATATCTACAGTGTACTACATCTTGCAAGGGAGCGATGAGAAGGGCATGTCAACCGAGGAGATCTATGCCGCTGCCCAGGTCCTCATCGTTGCCGGCAGTGAGACCACGGCGACAGGTCTGACTGCAGCCACCTACCTCCTCTGCGAGAACCCGCAAACTTTGGCCAAGCTCACTGCAGAGATCCGCAACACTTTTGAGAGCGAAGACGACATCACCATCCAGAGCACAGCTGGACTGAGCTATCTCAATGCTGCCATTGAAGAGGCCCTTCGCCTGGGACCTCCTGGCCCTGGGACATTTCCTCGTGTGGTCCCTGACGGCGGAAGAATGGTCTGTGGACAGTTCGTTCCTGCAGGTTACTCAGTCGGTGTTCACCACCTGGCTGTCAACCGATCTCCGATTCACTTCAGTAAGCACGACGAATTTCATCCCGAGAGATGGCTTGGGGACCCAGAGTTCGAGTCGGACAAGAAGTTAGCGGCCCAGCCATTCTCATTCGGGCCAAGGAACTGTATTGGAAAGAAGTAGGTTTCAGTTTCCCCCTTTTCTTAAATGTGGCTGACCAATTCCACAGTCTGGCTTATGCCGAGATCCGGACAATCATTGCCCGTGTTGTGTGGAACTTTGACATGAAGTTACACGCTGACAGTGCAGGCTGGTTAGGGAGGCAAAAGATGTTTACTACCTGGCATAAGACAGAGATGAAGGTCTATCTTTCCCCGCGGGCCAAGTCATCATGAGTGAGCACAGGTATTACTCCGTATGGCAAGGTCCAGTCTGTCGGCGACCTTTTATCGGGAACGAATTGGTCACTATACTATGTTCTGCCATATTATACCTTAGTCTGCATGCCAATACAGCGTAAAAACTGGTTTGAGGTCTTCACAGTATGGACTTTGGGTACTGCAAGAAAATGAAGCATGATATGTACATATTACTCGTAAACCCCAAATGAAATGAGATCAAGCAATCACTGTCTTACCTGTGTCTTCAATCGCTGCTATTACCAAGCTTCCACCAGCGAGTACTCACAGTCACGTAGAGGCGCATTAGTCTGGTCCTCTAGGGCCTAGTAGGTTTCGTTATATCGAATCAGTGCACTACACTCTGGGCGACGGGCTACAGCAGAGGCGGACTTATGCAATCTAGCTTCTATTGGTCTCCTAGGCAGGGCTGAGGATTTTCCCGGTTGCTTCACTCCATGTTGGCAACATATGGGCCGGACCCTCCAGGATCCTACCGAAGCCGGCATGGACCCGCTCCACGAACTTGCTCCATCCTACCGTAGTTTATACAGTGGTGCTTCGGGATCATCGTCCCAGAGCAAGGTAACATGGGTCTTGGATAGGTGGGGATGTAAAGTTGCCAGAGTGAGACTTCGTGGGGTCGACAGCCTCCGAGTTTATACAAAGCATGTCGCAATCGATCACAGGACGGAGGTAGACTCCATGGGGTATGGCTACACGCCTCACAGTGGGCGAAGGAAGCTGATTCTTTGTATTTAACCTCCAATCCTCGCCTTCCGGAACTTTGTTCATAACAGGCTTAAGTTGGACCAGATATCGAAATGACGGGAGCTTCTGTCATCTCCTTTGGCCATGACAATAGTTCTCCCCAATACGACCCAAGATGAGCTGCGATAGACCGTACGAGCGTCTGTCCCGCGCCTCCGAAAGCCCAGCAGTCTCTCGCCTTGTGCATCAACACGCCCCAATAAGCCAGCACCACCAACGCCTCGGGCCGTCTTTGGTCGAGCAGGCTGACATACTCGGCTGGCACCCGAATTGACCACTCCTGTACCGTGCTGTACCGCCGACCCGCAGGAATGTCCGTGTTACGATGAATGTCGAACATGAGCTGCAGGTGCTCAACAGCCTCCTGGCACGCTGCTTTAGATGCATCGTTGAGGTCGCTCGTTTCAAAGAGGCGCAGCAGATGTCTACACTCGTTGCCGGTCTCGTACCGTTCTCTTCTGATTATCATGTTCTGCACGAAGCGGCTCCCTGCACCTAGATGGGTATCAAAGTGAAGCCGGAGCCTGTCCCACGAGCCCCCTACGACGCTCCGGACGACCCGATGGAGGCCCATGCAGTGGACTAGCTTATCCAGAATGACTGGAAGATCAGCGGGTATTGAAAACGTGTCGAAGAGAACGTGTTGACCGAGCCAGGTCGAAAACAGGAATACTGTAAGGAAGTCTTCATCAGACAGATCGCCGTCAGCCACCGTAAAACGTGAAAGGCTTCTCGTCTGTAGTCGAGTTGCTTCGCTGCGATAGAAGGCCTGATCTTCTCCCGGCAAAGTGCTCTTGTGTGCTGCAGCTATAGCTAGAAGCTCGTCCATCAAAAATGGGACCCGGAAGGCTTGCTTCAGTGACATTTGTTGGTACTTTTGTCGCGTGAGAGTATCGCCGAACCCTTGGCTGTAGCCCAAGTTATGCTCGAAATGGTATAGCAATTCCATGTGCCGGAGATCGTACGGTTCTGTCGGCACATGATTATTACGGCAAGTCGCTTGCTGCGGGGTGATGGGCACCGCTGGGCTTGCTGTTGATGACTCTATTGATGTTGCTGGGCTCGGACATTGGTACGAGAACGTGGATGATGATGGTACTGCCGCCTCAGTGTCGAGGTATGAGCATCTCCTGAGAGCAGTCGTGCAGTTGACGCATGCCGGCCGGGACTCGTCGCATTTTACATGACGTTGCTTACACTCTTTGCACCCAAATCTCGACTTTCGATGAGGTGTCCGCTGGCGCATTTTGCCAAGAGCTTCCGATGACAGGCGGGCGAAGTGGCGTAATTAAAACTGCCGATGTTCCTCGAGGGGCTTTCACTCCCGAGTTTCGGGCGAATGTGAAGCAAAAGCAGCCCGTCTGATGCGAATACACTGAGATGGAATAGCTTCAAGAAGCAATAGAGAAATCAAGCCATCGAATGAATTATTACCAGAAACATAATCGGGAAGGGCAGAAAGACTCCTTTAAAGTCTCGGTCCAATCTCAAGCCCCGCTAACAAGCATATCCCTGGACCATGCACTGTGCGACCGAAGACGCCTTTCCAGCTCGCTCGACTTCATGGAATGAGTGGCAGTGCATGATTCTGACGAGTTTGCGATCACTAGAGAACGTCGATTTCGCGAAAAGAAGTTCAAGATGATCAGAGGTTTTATACTCAGCTGTCCTGCGTCAAATATCTGAAGAAACCGTGAAGGCATGGTCATCCGGACAGAATTCGAAATACGCGTATATCGTGGGCTGCTAGTGAGATCTCGTAATGTCCGTATGTCCAGAGGTGGTTTCGTTGGACGGTTCGTCTGATGATTGGTCGAACTCAAAGTGAAATCCCATAAAGAGATAATGCAAGCCGACCTTGTTCATGTAATTAGCTATAAATATGCAACATTCTACGTATGCCTCGAAAGTTCAGGCATCACTTCAGGAGAACAATGAAATGTCTTCTTCATTTGCAACGCCATCCACAGTCCGGATATGTCAGATCGTCACTGGGTGACACGCCTCGAAGAAGCTCATCGCCTGTCTTAGCGTCCGTCGTATTTATCCCTGCACGTATTGTAAAGTGAGCGATTGGACAGTCGATGGCAGTCCAAACCCGAACCAATTAGAACCTTCTGAGTACGGACTGGTCCACAATGTCGGTGGGCACCAGTGTCCTCAATATTCTGATTCACGGACACCCATGGTGTTACTGCCCTCTGTCTCTCATTATGAATTCGAGTTAAATGCTGGCAGATTGTCTTATTCCCCTTCTATCTCTTCCACTCAGAAACTTTTCGGTCCAAGCACTTCCACTGGTATGATAAAGACTCCTCAATGGGGAAAAGATTTGTCTCCAAATAGAGTAGCCGCTCACCCACCACACCCACGGAAACCACCACCACAACGTCAAAAACAACATCACTACACAATCTTGAAGTTCAGCCCACGATTACGACAAAAGAATGGACGATCTGGGAATCGAACCCAGGACCTACCGCATGCTAAGCGGTCATTATACCACTAAACCAATCGCCCAGTAGGATGATCTAGCCCGGACTTGAACCGGAGACCTTCAGTGAACAGTGAGATTATCGTGAGAGAGTCTCAACTTGTTAGACTGACGTGATAACCAACTACACCACCAGACCATATGAATTGTTGAAGGCGTGAGCCAGAGATTGCCCTAGTGTGGGTGGAATCGTGCCCCGTTGAGCCCTGGTGGAGTTGACAGCTCAACTCGCAGGCGGGAGCTCCGCACGGAAGACCCCCGAGTCCACAGATACCGGCCCGGCATTCGAATGATACCAAGCCCGAACCAACCGAGCCGGCTGAGAAAAGACCCTGCTGTATAATGGTAGACAGACAAGAGTTCCTTTCCCCTTTCTTGTTCCGGTGTTCCCTTTTAAACTTGTCGCCAAGTTCTAATACTGCGCCAGTCGGGGCCAGCTGGCGATACTTTCCAGTTTGATTATCTAAGCAAATGCCAAGGGGTCGCTCTTCGGTGTTTCGCGCTCTCAGCCCACCGGCCCATCACGTAACTTTCAGAAGTGAACCACCGAATCTCACCAGTTCATCTCACATCTCACTCTCATCTCACGTCCCCAATGTCCAGCGCTCAAGCAAACGAGACGACCTCGCTCTTGCCATCACGAAATACCCACCCCGATACCACCGCCGAGGAAACAGAGACAATGAGCAGCCAGGCCTTTTGGAGAGTCGGTGCCATCTTCGGCGCCACCGCCGTCGGTCTCGGAGCCTTCGGAGCCCACGGCCTGAAGAACCGCATCTCTGATCCCGCAAAGATTGCCAGCTGGTCCACCGCCGCTCACTATCAAGTGAGTTGCTCTCATCTTATTTCACTCATCATCATCAGTGAGATCAGTAGCTGACCCTACAAACATCATTAGCTCGTCCACTCCGTTGCCATTCTCATCGCTCGATCCAACCCCCTCGCCGCCGGTCTTTTCACCGCCGGCGCGACCATGTTCAGCGGTAGCATCTACGCCCTTATCCTCAACCCTGATCTTAAGTTCCTCGGTCCCGTCACTCCAATTGGTGGCCTTGCTCTGATTGCTGGTTGGCTCGCCTTGGCTTTCACCAAGGGTCGCGTTCGTTTCTAAGCCTAAGCGCTTCCAATGAGATGAAGTCCATTGTCGTGCACTCAGTCTCTGACCCAGAGGAATGCAATTGACTCCATTCTTGTAATACTACCTGTATCATAGACACCTAAGTTACTGCGGGCACCTTCGAATGCACATCCACTCCTCCTGAGACAGACTGTTCCCATTTGACTTATCATTCATGAATCATGTCTTTACCTAAAGCAGGACTGAGATGGGCTCACATGCCTGCTACCTTCATGTCAGCTTCAACCCCTTCTCGTACACACTTTCCAATCGAATATCGACAGGGGTAAGAGCCGTTAGTCGTTCATGCGTAGTTGCCGGGCGCCCTGGCATGGAAGGGGTTGCTGTCAGCTTACCATAACCCCTGAGACCAAGAGCCGCCGGGGTAACACGGTCAGCCCTA